GTTAGAAGCCGGACTTCCTTTGTTGGCTGCCTTGACTTGATGAGGCTTGTGAAGAGAAGTACAACAAAAACAACAATGCTGTATGTGATATGAAGGAAATTTTTGATTTGCTTGGTTTTAGGCGCGTGCGAAGCAGCACGTAAGTTGTTTTTGTTATTATTTTTTCGATAATGTCATTCTTTGCAGATTTCTCGTAAGGAAAAACTATGAAGAGTACCTAGATTACAAAAAAAAAAAACACATTAATGAAATTTACAAAAACAAAAAATAAAAACTTATAAAAAATTATTCTTTGAAATGCGGAAAATCATTGACTACTTGGTCTATGCTGTTTTGAAAAACCAACCTGAAAGTAACGCTGATTTTGTCATTTTTCTGCTCTTAGCAAGCTTTGTTTTTAAGTTTTGAGTCTTTTTGAACTGGTAAAAAAATTGGTCGAAATTTTTTTACATAAAATAAGAAGTAGAATTTAAGCGATTAGTTTATATAATCAAGCCTTTAATTAGCATTTGAAGTTTTTGAAAACTGGTATACAAACTGGTCTAATTTTTTAAAACGAAAAAAATGGAAAAAAGAAAGAAAGGAATGGCTCAGAGGCGATTTTGTGGTTCTCGGTGTTCCGAAATGAGTTAAATTAATTCTAAAGCTTTTTGAAAGAAATATTAATTTTAAATGGATTTTTTTAATTTCAACATCCTTTTTTTTAAATTTATTAAATTTGCAAAAAAATTTTGTTAATTACCACATTTTCCTCCTTGCTGGCCACACCACTGGTTACGAGGTTAATACTATTGAGTTTTATAACAAAAACACCAACAAAAAGTTAGTATTCAAAATGTGCACAACAAATTTGTTGTTGTTAAAAATATTTACTTCAGTTGACCACTTTCCCTCGCCTATTAGCCAATACTCCGGACAGTCGGTCGGATTGCTGGCAGCAGCAGAGATTCACCTCAAGAACCTAACAAAATACTAACAGCTGCAACAACAAGAACAACAAGGCGCTAAAGGGCGCTCGGGAAAATGTACTACAGCAAAAAAATTCCGCCAACAACAATCACAACAACAACTCTACCATCAACACCGAGCCACCCGGCGTCAGCGCAACAGCGCCAATGACACTTTGGAGCTCGCACTCACGCTCACGCTCACGCCTCAACGTGCGGCGCGCAAAAAACGTACCAAACGACGACAACAACGACAGCGACGGCGAAGGTGGCGACGTACATGAGAACGATTGTATAAAACAAACAAAAAAAGTTTGGCAGACGTCGCCACCGCGACTTGGTCGTGCAACAAGCTGTCTGTCACACAGTCAAAGACGTAGCGCTGCAGCGACGTGCGATGGTAGCATCGTAGCCCACGCCACACCACACAGTAGCCCAGCCAGCAAGCCAGAAATATACAGAACAAACTTACGGGCCTCCACTCAGCTCCATACTTCACGACTCCTCCTCCGCCGTCGTCGTCGTCGTCCGCCTACCGCGTTCACGTAAACAGTGTGTGACAAACCGCCGTCGCACCGTCGCTTACTCACTCACCTTTGTAACACAATACCAACTAGAGCTGCAGAAACGTGTTTCACTACTCATTGTGCCACACTCGCTGGAGTCGTCGTCACCGTGCACCAAATCGCTACATTCATTCAACTCGCTGTTTGTCAGCCGCAGCGCGTAGTGGGTCTAATGGTGCAGCAGACGTCGCCGCTGGCCACGTGGACGACGCAGTCAGCATCGCTCTCTGTGAGCGCACCCTCGTCGCCGCTACCGCCATCACCGCAACCGTTTAGCCTGTAGGTGTGTGTGTGTGTGCGCCTGCATTTGACGTTTGTGTGTGTGTGTGTGTGTGCGCCTGCATTTGACGTTTTTGCGCGTTTGCCATTTTTGTGTCTTCTTCTTTCCTCTTTTTCTTCTTCTTCCTCTTCCCGTTCGTGTTCATCATCATCTTCTGCGTCTACTTCTTCCACCCCATCGACCGCGTTGTGGTGTCCATCGCCTGGCAAATGCATGCGTGCGTGCATAAGAGCAGAAGTTGTTGCAAGTTATCGTCGTGGCCGTCGTTGTCGTCGCTGTAGTTGTCGTGACATCAACGTCAATGTGTGTTTTCAGTTTACGCGAGTTTTTGTTTTTTGACTCTGCATCGCCGTCGTCTTTTGAAGACCTGAAAATTCCAAAATATTTTCGCTTTCGTTGCGACGCGTCGGCTGAACGTCGCGTACGGTGTGTGCTTTATTGTGGTGTTGTATCTATTGAATTTTAGCCGTCGCCAATTGGGAATAGCGAAAAAATAAAGGAGATTTTGGAAAAGTTATGAATAATTGTGAAATTTGTTTCGGGCAAAGTTGAAAAAGGAGATTTGCGTGTGAAATTTTCTTGCGAATTCGTATTGAGATTTTTGAAAAGCAATTTTTGAAGTGAATTAAAATAATTTTACGTGCTCTGGGATTAAGCGTGTGTTATCAAAGGAGCGAAAAGATTATTCGAAAGAGACGAAAAGGAGATTTTGATCAATTTTTATAAGTGAAAAATGGGGAAAAACCTGTTGAATATTAAAAAAGTGGAAAAAATATTTTGAAAATAATAAAAATATTTCTTTTTTAAATGAAAGTTTAAAATCTTGAATTTGACAAAGAAATTAAGATTTTAATCACCTAAGAATACAATGGAGATAAAAACAAAAATAAATTAGCGACGAAGAGATATAAGAAATAGAATATTTTAAATAAAAACAAACTATTTGGCGGCAACTGTGAGTGAATCAAATATGAGTATATAATAAAGTAATAATAAGAATAAAAATAATAATAATAATAATAATAATAATAATAATAATAATAATAATAATAATAATAATAATAATAATAATAATAATAATAATAATAATAATAATAGTAATAGTAATAATAATAATAATAGTAATAATAATAATAATAATAGTAATAGTAATAATAATGATAATAATAATTTAAAATAAAAAACCAAAAACCTTTAGTTGTTTGTTGTTTTAAACTGCCTAAAAAAATCTATTCTTAAATGAAACATTAAAATTAATTATTTTAAAAAGTTTCCAAAAATTTTTTTAGAGACTAATAAATGTTTTAAAAAAAAATTACGAAATAAGTATTATATAATATCTCGAAATAATTAAATATTTTTAAGTAAGTCATAAGACAAAATAATAAAATAAAAAATCTATATTAAAAATTAAATAAGAATATATTTTTGAATAAAAAAATAATATTAATTATTTTAAGATTTTCAAAAATATATTTAAATTATTAATATTTAATGTTTATGAAAAATACTTTTGAAATGACGAAAAAAAAGATTTCAAAATATTTAAAGACTTTAAAGTAGGAAAAAATCCATAAAAATATTTGAAAGAATATTGAAAGTCACATAAAATATCAATAGAATAAACTATTTCAAAAATATCTATTTTTGTCTGTTTTTTAAAAACAGTTACGAATTTTGTACTAAAAAATATTTAAAGCATTTTAAATATTTGAAGTAAGTACACACACAGAAACTAAATTTTTAAATCTAAAGAAAAATATATGTTTTTAAATAAAATAATTAATTTCCTTTTAGAATTAATAGTTTTTTAATGTTTTTGAAAAATATATATAAAATTTGTTTTCATAATTATTTTAAGATATTAATATTAGTTGATTATATTTAAGCTTTTAATAAGCTTAAGTTGAATTTCTAAAAGTTTGAACAAAAATTTGCAATTTCTTAATTTAAAAAAATGTAATAATTTTTTCAAATATTTCGGTTATATTTTTTTGAATGTTTAACATTTATGAATATTTTTTGGTTAGACATAATTCATGTCAAACCATATTTTATGTTATAACTAATGTTAAGCAATGACCCGCTCAACAATTAAAATTACAGAAGATTTATTGCAAGTATTAATTTTTTTTTTCAATTGCTGCCCCCATCGAGCCTATTTCTGATAAGCTCTACATTAAGATCCATAAACTGCTCGGAGGCGAATGAGAAAAAACCATCATGTGGCACTCCACAATACGGTGGAGATGCTTTGTCCGATAGTCGCTGTAGCTTTTATAATGCCTCTTTTATATTGATTGTATTAATAATTTATGTCAAACCATATTTTCTGCTTAGCAATAACTATTGTTCATATTGCCTTAATTATAGTGATTATATTTAAAATTTATGTCAAACCATATTTTCTGCTTAGCAATAACTGTTGTTCATATTGCCTTAATTATAGTGATTATATTTAAAATTTATGTCAAACCATATTTTATGGTTAGCATTAACTTTTGCTTGTCACACCTCAATTAGATTGATTGTATTTATTATTTCAGCCATATTTTGTGGTCAGGAATAATTTTTGTCTAGCCATAATTTATATTCAGCAATAATTTATATTATTTTTATTTTATTGTTAGTTTCATTGCTTTAGTTAGTTTAGCTATGCTTTTACATCTCTTAATATTTATGAAGATTATTTTTATGTTTTGGCATTAATTGATTTTAGTGGATTTGCAAATTTTGAAAAAATTTACTTCCAAGAAAATATTACATAACTTTATATAAAAATAAAAGAATATATAAAATTTTTATTTTGGTCTAATGCATAAAAAGTTTCAAAAAAAATATTGATTTGCAAAAAGAATTCAGTAATTTAATAATTGTAAAATATATTACTAATTTGTGAAATGCAAATTATAAATAATTTTTTTCCTATTAAAATTCGATATAATTTTAAATTTAAAAAAATTTTTCTTATTAAAATGCAAAAAGAAATGAAAATGGTTTTTAAAAAGTATATATGTAATTAGAAACATTTTTTTGGTATATATATTGAATATAAAAAGATTTAAAATTCATATAATTAAATAAAAATGAAAATTTGGATATAAACATTATTTTCTAATGGAGTTTTGTTGTTTTATAGCTTACAATCATAGACTTTCAAATAAAAACCTTAAAACAAAATCGGAAAAGTGTTAAAACATAAATGAAAGAAATACTCAAAAATTTTAGTTCACAACAAAAAGAGTGCTTTAAAATAACGAGTGAATTTAAAATGCACAATTTGTGCAAATATAAACAAACATCTACAGTAATAACCGTAAAGACGGAAATTAAACTTGAATCAAGTGTTGGAATCAAAATCGAATTAAAAACAGGTTTGTTTCCCTAATTGCTTTTAAATATATAATTCCTTTGACAATCATTTTATTTACTTATGTATAACATTTCCTTATATATTTCTAGTATTTTCAAATTAGTTTTTGTACTCTCACGGCTTTCAACGTTGCAAATTGAGCTGAAAAAAAATAAAAAAAAAATATAGATTCTCATAAAAAATTTCAAAAACGAAACATTTATTCATTAAAAAGAGCTACTGTTTCTTTTAAAACTGTTTGAAGATTCCTAATATTTATACTTAGCTTGTAAAATCATTTAAAAATATCTCAAGAATTTTGAATTGACTTCAATTGAACGCAAAAATCCCAAATTAATTAATAATAAGCCTAGAAAAATTGCATCCAACCATTATTTTGGAAATGCAGACTTACTTTATCACATTTAGAATTATTCGATAAATTTAAAATATGCACCGTTTCGCTCGATAACTTTTTGTCATTTTTAATGTCATACCATTAAGCATTTCTCATAGAAACCCTTGCCATATTGACCTAAAATTGGGATCATGTATTTTCACAGGCTTTTCTGTAGTCTAATTCTTCACTAGCCGAATCATTCGCCATAGATGTTAATCACTTGGCGCGCATACTGGGCTATGAGGTCGATGAATAAGAGCCTCCCAACCAAGTGATGAAACACAATACCCCTTCTCTTGTCCAAAGCTGAGCGTTTCTGTACGATTGCTTCCTTCAGATGGTCCAATTGCTAACAACACAGTACAGGTCGGAATTAAGATTTTGACCGTAAGGGAGTTAATGGATCCTTGGAAATCCTACCAAAAATACAACCAAACTTTCCTTGTCATCAATTCTGGCTTAGCGGCCGTTTGTGCTGGCTCATTGCCCTTCGACCACGACCGTTTTCTTTTCACGTTGCTGTAGGTGGTCAACTTTTCATCAACACTAACCGTGCGCTTAAGAAATGGGTGGATTTTATTACATTTAGCAGTTGGATATTCGGTTCAGGAGGTTATTTCTCGTCAACTCATATGACAGCCATACATTTTTCATCACATACTCGACTTCTCAGAGAAATTTTTTTTTATTTGTGTACAATAACTAGATTTAGTTCGACTGCTCTCTAGAAATAAAAATGATGAGTCGCACGATCTTGATGGCGAATCGACATCACCGAAACCGAGAGATTACGCGGAGGGGAGGTTTTTCACGTAATAAAGTCATACTCGCTTGTATTGTGGGGCATGTTGCATCATCGTGTTGAGAGCGCATATTGTCCAAGTCATCTTCGTCAGTTGCAGGTCAAAGAAATAAGTCATGTTATGTTCATAACGCTTCGAATTGTCAGGAACAGTCTCGCTGTTGTCGTTTTCAAATTTTGCCTATTTTTTATACTTTTTTGTGAGATCGATAAGAAAAGAAAATTCTTGATCAAGCATCACCTAACTCAAACCATTAAGTGTTTTTTATTATTTTAATGATCGGACTATTTATTTGTATGTGTGGGCCATTTTTTCGCTCCTAAAGTCAATATGAATCCCTCGAAGTAAACCAAGAGCACCATTTGGATCTTGGCTTCGTCACACTCACGTTCAAGGTATAAGAATAGCTTCTAATCTGCAGTCACAGAATAATAAAAAAGCAAAGTTAACATACACGTACGTACCCCAAATCCAAATCATATTAATTTTTGTAACTTTGTCGGTAAACCCTTTGTCGTAAAAAAAAATTTTTTATTTCCAACAAATCGAATTTGGTTGCAGGTCTCTGGTTTATTTCCAGGAAACAAAAGTATTTCCTGCAGACATATCATTCAAAAATTTAACCAAATCGAACCATGAATATGTGCACGGAATTTCGAATTGGTCAGTCCTTGGTCCTGTTCTGTTGATCTTCCTTCCCTCCTTCCTTCCTTCTTAGATTAACAGGAAAACTACTTTTGTAGCGAATTTCAAGTAAATCGAATCACAAATACGATTTTTTTCGCATAAGTCAATCCCGAAAAATTTTTTTCCTTCAAATCTTTCAAGGAATCATAAAAACAAACAAACAAATTTTCATATAATCTGCCGGGGAATTTCCGAGATCACTGGAGACAAACATAGTTTTTTTCCAAAATTCACTAATGATAATTTATATTTTTTTACGAATTTAATTTAATCAAATGTTAACAAAAATAGCTTCAAAAATAAGTTCTATTAATTTTTTTAAATTGATTTTAATTACTATTTTTTATTTTTATAATTAGGACTTCAGAAATTAATTAAAAATAATTACTTTTTAATTAGTTTTTTAATTGAGTTTTATAAATATTTAAAAAAAATTTTTTTTCATTTTAATTTTCATTTATTGTTTTTATTGTATTTTTTACTTATTTATTTTTTAATATAAACAAATATGACCTCAAAGTTAAATATCTTTTTTAAGAAAGAAAAATCCTTAATTATTTTTAAAGTTATTGTTAATTAAAAATTTGATTTTTTATAGTTTAGTTATTGAAATAAGAGGAAATAAGACCTGAAAGATGAATTTAAAAAGGCAAAAAAACTTTTATTTTTTTTAAATAACTTTTAAATTTATTTAATTTTAAATCTTTTCAATTTTCATTTTTAAATAACAACTTTATGAAGCTTCAAAGATATATTTTAGGGCAAGAATTCTTAATCTTTTTAGTTAATTTTGTTTTTTTTTTTTTAATTCAAAAACTCTAAACTTTTCAATTTTTCTATTATTTTTTTTATATATATAAATATAAATTTAAAAATAAAAAAATTGTAAATTTATTAATTTTTTTTTAAATTTAAAGTACATAGATTTAAAACAAAGTTATTAATTTTTTCAAATTAATTCAACTACTTCAGTTATTAATAAATAATATTTTAAAGATTTATCTAACAACTATTTTTTGATGTCAATTTTGGTTTGGTTTATTTTTTCAAACAAAGCCTGAAAAATAGATTTAAAAAGGAAATAACATTAAAATTTTTAATTTATTTTTTTAAAACTTATTACTTCTTTAATATTAATAGATTTTTTTAAATATGTTTTTAATTTTTCTTTAAATAAATAAATAAATGAATTAAATTTAATTTTTTGAATTTTAAAATTTTCAATTGTATTTTAATCTTAACAAATGAAGCTACAATGATATATCTAAAAGCAAAAATTCTTAATTGTTTTAAACTATATCTGATTTTTTTAACTCAAAAACTTCTAAATTTTTATATAAATAAAAATAATGAATTTATTTGTTTTAGCTAATAATAATAAATTAAAAAAGGAAAACCTATTAATTTTAAATATTATATTATTTAAACTAATTATTTTTTTTAATATTAATTTGGTTCTAATTTTTTTTAAATGTTTTTCCTTTTTTCTTGAATAAATCAATTAATTAATTTTAATTTTTAAATATAAATTATTTGTTTGTTTTAACCATTAATAAAACTTAATTTAATGAGGAAAAGCTGTTAATTTTTTAATTTAGTTTAATTTTTTTTAATTCCAATATATTTAATTAAATTTTATAATTTTATTTATTATATTATTTGATTTTATTAAAAGACAAATTATTAATTTTTTCAATTTAATTAAATTTGTATATTAATTGAACTACTTCAGTTATTAATAAATAATATTTCAAAGATTTATCTAACGAATATTTTTTTAAGTCAAGTTTGGATTGATTTCTTTTTTCAAATAATGCCTGAAAAATATATATTTAAGATGGAAAAACCATTAGTTTTTTAATTTTTTTAAGCTAATTAATCTTTTAATATAAATTTGTTTTTAATTTTTTTCCTAATTAAAATTTAATTTAAATTTAATATTAGCAAATATGGCTTTAAAGATATATTTGTAAGAAAAACCATTTTTTTTTAATTTTCATTACTTAAAATTTTAAAAGTTGTTTAATTTAACTTTCATTTTTTTCTTAATTTAACTTTATTTTAAATATTACCAAAACTGGCTTCAACAATAAATATGAAATAAAATTTTAATAGTTTTTAGTTAATATTTTATGATTTTATTAAATTTAAATTTTAGTAAATATAGATTTTAGATATTTTTAATATTCTATTTACTTGATCTAACCTAAAGTTTTTTACCAAAACTTTACGAGTATTCTTTTTAAAAAAAGTAGTTTTAAAGTTGCTTTGATTACCCTTACTACTAAATTTGTTTGATATTTTTTTAATATATATTTTTTCATTATTTACTAATTTTTTTTCTTCTGCACAACTTAAAAGAATTAAAGTGTCTAAAGTGTCTCAATATTTTTTTTTTTTTTAATTTGGAGTTATTTAACACAATTTAAAAGAATTAAATTGTCCAAAAAAATTTCCAATATTTTTTTTAACAAAAATTAATTCCAAATTAAAAAAAAACCAAACCAAATAAATTAAATATATAATAAATATTACGAAAATCCTGTCTATTCAACTGAAAATGCAATTTCGTTGCAAATATTTCGTACTGCATTAACGAAAGTAACTAACAGCAACAAAAAGCAGCTTACTGAAGCAACAACAACAATAAATAATGTGTCAATAGTTAACAAACTGCTAATAATATATCAGCAATTGGCAATGGCAGTGACAATACACGTAGTAATAATGATTGGAAAAAAACACCTTGCACATGCAATAAGAACACCAACAACAGCAACAACAGCAAATAATGTAAATAGTTAACAATCAGACAGCAAAACAACAGCAAATCAACAACTTATCACTTGATTTATTAGATTTGACATGAAGATATGTGATTTGCGCTGATGTGCATGTATGTAAAGTATCTATGTACGTGTGCGTGTATACACCATTTATCAAGCAAACCGACCGACATCATCATTAGACGCTGCCACATCCAAAACAACAACAAGAACAACTCTAAGCAACTCTCGCTGACTAGCTAGCCAACCAGTAGCTAACAATGCGAGGTGTAATAATAAAAATTGTTGTTATTTGCGTTGTTGTTGTTGTTGTTGTTGTTGTTGTTGTTGTTGTTGTTATAACAAT